GGCTGCCTCCTGCACACCCCCTACTGGGAATCGAGCCCGCAACCTAGGCATCTGCCCTTGACCAGAATCAATACCCAGGACCCTTTAGTCCCAAGGCCGACGCTCTATCCACTGAGCTATAACCAGTCAGGGCTATAGGTAAGATCTTTGGTTCTGAATGATGGCTGTTCTGTATTTTAGTTGTAATTTTGATGTGGTTGTGGCAGGCATTTACCTATGCCGCCATCTTGGTTCTCTCCAAACATATCTCAAAGTTGTGGGTTTTTTTCTTAATAAAATAAACATCTTTGGGTGGGTGGAGGGAGGAGGGGGTAAAGGGTTGAGAAATGGTGATGGAAGGAGACTTGACTTGGGATAGTGAACACAGAATACAATATACAGATGTTATGCTATAGAACTGTATACCTTAAAGCTATATAATTTTATTAACCAATGTAACCCTAATAAATTCAATTAAAAAAAGAAAAAGAAAACATCTTCACTCTTTGCCTGTCTTCTCTCTTCCAAATTTTTGCTTTTAGTGATTTTACAGTTTTTCATTTTACATAATCATATCTTTCCATCTTTTTTATTTCTTCCATCACTAAATGGAGAAAGCATTATGTATCAAATACCTCACAATTTCAGTTACCTTTGAACATGGAGAACTGTTAAGTTCTCTATTAGTAAGAATATATTTGGGACATGCATGACCCCAGTCCAGTGTTAAAATGGCTCAAGAGATAGTCTGAATTTAAAAGGACATCAGTCCCTAAAAGTGCAAATATCCTGTTCCTGACCCACCTTTATTAGAATTACAAAATAGGAATACTGGAAGCCTTAAAAGATGATAAATCTTGGGGGTTTGTTTTGATGGCTTTTTTGTTTGATTTTGTTCACCCTCATCTGAGGATAGTTTTTCCACCTGAGGATATTTTTTCCCCGTTTTTTTTTTTTTTTTTTTTTTAAGAGAGAGGTGGAGAAACATCCTTGTAAGAGGGACACATCAATTGATTGGTTGCCTCCTGCACACTTTCTGACCAGGGCTGGGGATTGAACCTGCAAGGGAGGTATGTGCCCTTGTCTGGGAAATGATCCTGCGATCATTTGGTGTGCGGGCTGACAAGCTAACCACTGCACAATGCCAGCCAGGGCTTACATTTTTGCTTTTTAAATTCAACATACAAGTTATCAGCCTACTGAAAAGGCAAAATTAATTAGGAAAGAGGTTCTCACCAAAAGATGTTCATCACTTTTTTCAGTTTCTTTCAAATAGCTTTCAAAATTTTGTCTGAGCATTAGTAGAGAAGAGGTAGGTTTTTAAAAATAGGACTTGTATTAGAAAAATTGAACTTAGAGATGTATAGTAAGTACAACTGTAGACTTCAGAAATTTGGGGACCAAATTTTGATTAATGGTCACCTGTTATTACTGCAGCTCTTGTGAACATTGTTAATTTTGCTGAAATCCTCTTTGATTTCAATGGCCTCCAGAACATTTGTTTTGGGAGCTAAGTGTTGTGCTGTCCAATACACTAGCCATTAGGTATATATGAAAATTTCAATTAAAAAATTTTAAATCAGCCCTAGCCAGTTTGGCTCAGTGGATGGAGCATCGGCCTGCCGACTGAAGGGTCCCAGGTTTGATTCCGGTCAAGGGCATATACCTTGGTTGCGGGCATATCCCCAGTAGGGTGTGTGCAGGAGGCAGCTGATCGATGTTTCTCTCTCATCAATGTTTCTAAATTTCTATCCTTCTCCCTTCCTCTCTGTACAAAAACAATAAAATATATTTAAAACAATTTTTTAATCAGATCCTGTCATACTAGCCTTGAGTGTCCAGCAGTTATATGTGGCTAACAGCTGCCCTACTGAATAGTACACAGAATATTTGTCCCTTACAAAAGATTATGTTGGGTAACTTTTTGTCTTTCAAAATATCTTCAGGGCTGTTTCTCACCACCTCAACCCTCTCTAACGAGTCCTCTCCTCCAGTTTTATTATTTCAGATACATTCTTAGTCTCCTTGCAGCTCCACATTGACCTTTCTGAAAATGGGGCTGTGTTTTTCCTCAACATTTACTAACAAGTACCATGCACAGGGAAATGAGGCACACAGAACTTAAGTCTGAATGTTACTCCATGTTTGGTGACATACAGCAGCTGTCACCATGCACCCATTCTGCCTATTGAGTCCCAAACTACCCTCCCACTGATGATGGAGAGAGACCCAGAGCCACACGCAGACACATTAGTGATCAAGGTCTACTTTGGGCCTGCAACCTATCTGGGCTCATTTTTCATCATGGGGTTGCATATATGTATTTTTGTCCAGTCAGAGCTCCTTACAGCAACGTGAGGGCAGTAACCACATGTATTTCTTCAATATTTTTCACAAGTAAAATGTCATTTTACATCATTAGTGTGATAATTGCTTGTATATAAAACTAAATTATATCAACATGGGTGATCATTGGCCCCAAACTATCCCCAGGTGAAATGTGAATATGAACTAAATATTCAATATCAGAAAATTCTTGTCAATGTTCTGAAGTCCAATACTGAAAGCCCATTCTGAAAAGCATATGCTTAACTATTTCAATGAAGTGGCATCTATCTGCTTTCAAATGCTTTATAGCTAAAATATATTATAAAGCAAATATTACAAATGTTATGTTAAATGTAGGTGATGAACATATAGGTGATCAATGTTATAGTCTTTCAGCTTTTCTGTATGTCTAAAATTTTCCATAATGGAAAGTTGAAAAATATATATCACATTTTGTTTATCTATTGAGCAGCCTGTGGGCATTTGGACTGTTTGGCTATTATGACTAATACCACATTGATTACTCACATACACTTCTTTATGTGTAGGCTTCAATGGTTTTATAAGCTTAAAACATTAATGTTTTTAAAAAATGGGTTGTGCTCAGGCCCCATCCAGTAATGCTATTTTCAAGCCTCAAGTTTAATAAATTTCAATAAAACCAGAATAACTAGAATTTTCAGAAAAGGTTGTTCTGGTAGTTTTCTGGTGAAGTGAGAGCTAGACAACATGATACCTATTTGTTTTGTTTTAATGTGTCCCCGAATTCTGCTTTTGCAAACATAGTACAGAATAAGCCTAACAATGTTTCACAGGTGATTAAAGATTTTGCAGGGTCTCCTGATAACCAAACAGAGAGCTCCTGCCGGGACTGTAGAGAACAATGCCCAGCAGAATGTGTTCACTGGGTTTTGAATACAGAACATAGCATGAGGTGGCTTTTATAAGAAACTCCCTAGTATATTTTAAAAACCTGCTTCTAGTTATCTTACAATTAATTAGTGCCTAACGATATGCCACGCACTTTTCATCCTGTCCTACCTTCATGCAGCTCAGAGACTAAGTAAGTGGGCACCAGTGAAGGTGATGGCACTGCACTGTTGTCGCCAGAGAGAACAGGCACCTGGGCTATGACTCAAGTGCACTTTACATGTCTGTTCTATTCCACTGCATGGTGCCAACCTGCTCATGTAACTGTTTCTTAAAAGGTAATTCTGGAGACTTTAGGAATAAGCAATTTGGTTTGGTTTCCTAGTCTGATACCAGTACCAGTTGATATGCTACCAAATTCTTGCACTACTTTCTATGAAGCAAGCTGATTTATCACCTATTCCTGTTCATCTACTGAGCATAATAGCTAACATTTACTGGGACATAATATATGTCAGATACTGCCCTAACCGGTTTGGCTCAGTGGATAGAGCGTCAGCCTGCGGACTCAAGGGTCCCAGGTTCGATTCCAGTCAAGGGCATGTACCTTGGTTGCAGGCACATCCCCAGTAGGGGGTGTGCAAGAGGCAGCTAATCAATGTTTCTCTCTCATTGATATTCCTATTTCTCTCCCTTCCTCCCTGTAAAAAATGTTTTTATTGACTTCAGAGAGGAAGAGAAAGGGAGAGAGAGATAGAAACATCTATGATGAGAGAGAATCATAGATGTTTCTATGTTCTCTTGACTGGAATCGAACCCGGGACCCTTCAGTCCGCATGCCAACACTCTATCCACTGAGACAAACCAGCTAGGGCCTCAACCTCTTTCTTGGATCATGAATTCATTTGGAGGCAACAAGAAAATTCCAAATTGTGAAGAAAACAGGCATATTTCCCTTCATAAAAATCAAAGCTAAAATGCTTAGCTCTTAAAAATGTTTCACTGTAGTGTTTCAGGACGGGGCAGACTCCGTCCTTTTAGAACACCCCATTAGGAAACACCTGTGGCCAAGAACCCAGCCAGAGGTTTGGATGGGATGCCATATACAAGGAAATTTCAAAGTGTTGCCCTAGCTGGTTTTGCTCAGTGGATAGAGCGTTGGCCTATGGACCAAAGGGTCCCAGGTTCGATTCCATCAAGGGCATGTACGTCGGTTGCAGGATACTCCCCGGCCCAGGCCCTGGTCAGGGCATGTGCAGGAGGCAACCAATCTATGTGTTTCTCTCACATTGATATTTCTGTCTTTCCCTCTTTCTGAAAATCAGTGGGAAAATATCCTCAGGTGAGGATTAAAAAAAACAAACAAACAAAAACCAAGTGTTGAGACCTTCATGTCTGGCATGAATAAAAAAAAATCTTAGTTTGGGAGTGACAAGTTGAGTACATTAGGATCACTTACTCCAAAACTACATTCTGCAACAGTGCAAGGAAAAAGGCCACGTGCCCTCTACCTCAAAGCTACGGGCTCCACTCACTCAGCACAGTGATCCTCCGATGAAACTGCTTTCTACAGTGAACTTCCTCCTGTCTCCTGGTTAAGCACAATAATGTCAAGGCTCTCTCTGGTAATCAACACCACCATCCTATCTTCAAGAATTTCAAACATCGATATAGGTCTGGCTTAATTCTTCCTTGTGCATTTAAATAAAACTGTTGTTTACCATTCCGGTTTTATATGCTCTACTATAGTTTGAAAACTTATAAACACATTGAAATCAAAACATGAAATATAAGGAATAAAAAATAACACAGGGGGCAAAATCCATGGTATGAGGTATTCAACAGCATAGTTTATATGCACAGCACCCCACCTCACCCTCTTCAGAGGTGAGCTCAGGAAGCCAGCAAGCAGCCACCGCAAGGCCTCTCCAAGACTCCGTGGTCGTCAAAGATCTAACAGCCAAGTCTGAAACAGCAACCCAAACCAAGACCCAGCGGAGGTGCTGTCCCCAGTGTCCCCAGTGTCTTCTGGGATAGAGTTTCAGGTCCCGGGAGACAGGTGCCACGCTGGGGGCTCCCTCAGCAGCAGTGATGCTGGAGGTTAATACTGGAAGCTGCGCTTGGTCTGGATGTCATCGAGGATCTGCTGCAGCTCCTCGTCCTCAAATCGCCCCTCCAGGCTGCAAGGAAACAAACAGCAATGAGCGTCTTCGCGGCTGACAATGTTCCCACACTCATGCTAACTCAGGCCCACTTCTCCATTTATCCCTAAAAACTTTTACCTTTAAATCTTTATTTCTTGCCATTCTTTTTAAAAACATTATGAAGTGTTTAAAAACATATAAAAGGTATAGGAAATAAGGTAACCTTAATAGTTATCCTTAATTGATTTAGATTTAATAAACATAACAGGAACGAACTGATGACTGCATACTTCTCCATCCCAAAACCTTCCCTTCCTTCCCCAGAAATGACCATTATCCTACATTTGGTATTTATCATGCCTCTAAGTATTTTTGTGCTAACAATATGTACATGTAAACATATCTATAAGAAATACCAGCCGAAACCGGTTTGGCTCAGTGGATAGAGCGTCGGCCTGCGGACTGAAGGGTCCCAGGTTCGATTCCGGTCAAGGGCATGTGCCTGGGTTGCGGGCACATTCCCAGTGGGAGATGTGCGGGAGGCAGCTGATCGATGTTTCTCTCTCATCGATGTTTCTAACTCTCTATCTCTCTCCCTTCCTCTCTGTAAAAATTCAATAAAATATATTTAAAAAAAAAAAAGAAAGAAAGAAATGCCAGCACTGTAAACTTCATAAGAAAAATCACCACACTGTACGTATCTTTGTGCAATTTTTGGCTCAAAATTCATGCTGGCATGTGTTGACATTATTCCATGTTGTTCTAGTTCATTAATTTTCTCACTGCTATATAATACACACCGTCTGGTGAAATGATGTATTTGTAGTCTCTTTTTTTAAATCTTTGTTGAAACTATTACATGTCCCTCTTTTCCCACCATTGACCCCTTCTAACCCACCCCCAACCCCCGCCCCAGGCCTTTACCACCCTATTGTCTGTGTCCATGGGTTATGTATACATTTTTGGTTGATGACTTGCCACACACCCTATCCTCCATGCCATCTAAGGTTCCACAGTCTGTTCCATGCTTCTTTATCCTGGGATCTATTCTGTTCATCAGTTTTTTTTTCGTTAGATTCCACATATGAGTGAGATCATGTGATACTTGTCTTTCTCTGACTGGCTTATTTTGCTTAGCATTATACTCTCCAGGTCCCTCCATGCTGTCTCAAAATATAAGAGATCCTTCTATTTTACTGTTGCATAGTACTAGGTGTACCAGTTACTAATGCAGATTTTTTTCAATAGATGGAGTTACACATATGTTAATATGTGATTTGGTATGTATGCTATTTTGTTGTATTGACAAGCTTCGAAACCTTGTATGTCAAATTATCTGAAGGTGTTAACATCATAGATATTTTTACGAATTTCGTGCCAAAAAAAGAGCATTTGCGGGAAGTTTTAATTCACTACCTTATTTTGAAGAAAAGTGCTGCTGAAAGTTACCGTATACTTCCTAGAAGTGGTAGCACCGAGTTAAGTGGCAGTTCCATATTTAATTTTTTGAATAAACTTCATACTGTCTTCCACAATGCTGTACCAGTCTGCACTCCCACCAGCAGTGTACGAGGGTCCCCTTTTCTCCACATCCTTGCCAGCATTTGTCATGTGTTGACTTGATGGTAGGCATTCTGACAGGTGTGAGGTGATACCTCATTGTCGTTTTCATTTGCATCTCTCTGATGATCAGTGACTTTCAGCACTTTTTTCATATGTCTCTTGGCCATCTGTATGTCCACTTTGGAAAAGTGTCTATTTAGATCTTTTGCCCATTTTATAATTGGATTTTTTTGTCTTCCTTTTGTTCAGTTGTATGAGTTGCTTATATATTTTGGATATTAACCCTTTATCAGATGTATCATTGCCAAATATGTTCTCCCATACAGTGGTCTCCCTTTTCATTTTGTGGTTTATTTTGCTGTGCAGCAGCTTTTGATACTGTCTGATTTATTTTCTCCTTAGTGTCCTTTGCCCTATGATATATATCCGTAAACATATTGCTATGAGAAATGTCTGAGATTTTGCTGTCTATGGTTTCTTCTAGGATTTTTATGGTTCCACAACTTACATTTAAGTTTTTATCCACTTTTAGTTTATTCTTGTATCTGGAATAATTTGGAGGCCTACTTTCATTTTTTTGCATGTATCTGTCCAACTTTCCCAACATCATTTATTGAAGAGACTGTCTTGACTCCATTGTATGCTCTTGCCTCCTTTGTCAAATATTGAGCATAATGGCTTGGGTCAATTTCTGGGGTCTCCATTGCATTCTATTGATCTATATGCCTATTCTTGTGCCAGTACCACAGTACCAGGTTGTTTGATTATTGGTGGCTTTGTACTACAACTTGATATCTGCCATTGTGATCCCTCCAACTTTGTTCTTCTTTCTCAAGACTACTGGAGATGCCCTAGCCTGTTTGGCTCATTGGATAGAGCATTGGCCTATGGACCAAAGGGTCCCCGGTTAGATTCCAGTCAAGGGCTTGTACCTCGGTTGGTGGCTCCTCCCAAGCCAGAGCCCTGGTCAGGGCTCATGCAGAGGAAAGCAGTTGATGTGTTTCTTTCACATCAATATTTCTGTCTTCCCTCTTTCGTCTACTCTCTCTAAAAAAAAAAAAAAAAAAGGAGAAACATCCTAGGGGGTGGGATTAAAAATAAATTCATTAAAAAAGATTGCTGGGGATATTAAGGGTCATTTTTGGTTCCATATAAATTTTTGGACTATTTGTCCTAGATCTGTGAAATATGGTGTTGGTATTTTAATGGGGATTGTATTGAATCTGTAGATTGCCTTGGATAGTATGGACATTTTAATGACGTTAATTTTACCAATCCAAGAACATGGTGTATCACGGTATATTCTTCCACTTGTTCATTTCTTCCTTTATCTTTTTTTCCAATGTCCTGTAGTTTTCTGAGTACAAGTCTTTTACCATCTCCTTAGTTAAATTTTTTCCTAAGTATGTTTATTTGTTGTAATAGTAAATGCTCCTATATTGGGGGCATAAACGTTTACCAGGGTTATATCCTACTGTTGGTTGGATCCCTTTAGTATTATGTAATGACCTTTGTTTTCTCTTGTGATGGCCTTCATTTTGAAGTCTATACTGTCAGATATGAGTATTGCTAACCCAGCTTTTTCTTCTTTTTTTCGTTTCCATTTGCATGGAAAAAATTTTCCATCCCTTCACTCTCATGTTGTGTGAGTTCTTTGCTTTGAGGTGGGTCTCTTGTAGACATCATATAGTTGGGTCATGTTTTCTTATCCATTCAATTACCCTATGTCTTTTGACTCGAGCATTTAATCCATTTATATTTAAGATTATTGACTGGAGGCCCAGTGCACGAAAGTCATGCATGGGTAGAGTCCCTAGGGGCTGCCGGCAGGGCCTCCCTTTTCCCGGCTGCCTGCGGCTGCG